ATCGAGCGTGGAGAAGTCCAAGTGCTGAAGGTCTCGACAGATCACAATGCTGCTGATATGATCACCAAAACATTGCCAAGTTGCAAGTTTTTCCACTGTATGCAGTTGATAAAGCTGCATGAAGAAAGCTAGTTAGTGTCTCTTGATGCTGTAGAGTTAGGTCCAAGGTGGAGATTTGTGGGATTTTGGATCGAACTCTAGTTGGTCGAAGTACTTGCTGTAGTCGAAGAAGGTTCTAGCATGTATTTGTCGAAGGATGCTTGTCGAATTAGGTTTTAGTGTTTAAACCCTAATTTGTTAAGTTAGCTTGTTTGTTAAGTTAGCTTGTATAATGGGCCTTGTGGAAAAAGCCCATTAGTTAGTATGTTAGGTTTTATTATAAATAGCATACTAGTCTCTCATCATTGCCAAGACAGCAAATCCTATTTTAGGGTGAGAGGGTTATTTGTTATTCTTGTAAACTTGTAATCTTGTTTCCAAAGAGAAAGTAAAGAATAGCAGTTATAACCAATTCTTGTGTTCTTCTTCTTCCTTGTTCTTTATTCTTCCCTTATTCTATACTTTGTTATTGGCATTGAATTCACAACAGAAACAATGAATGAAGCTCCCATAATGGGTTATCTTTTTTAAAGTTACACAATGAAGGGAGCTTAACTAATCGAGTGATATTTTTCAGCAAAGATATTCATTCAAAAGAACAAATATTTATTTTAAACCATTTATTTTAATATTTTATGTAAACAATGTAAATTAAAAAATATATATTTTCACCTCAGTTTTAAAAAAAAACAAGGTGATAGCTATATTTATAAGATTTAATACCTCGGTTTTATGCTAACGTCGTGGGGTAAAGTTATCAGATTTTACTATAAATACCTTTGTTAAATAGATTTTATCATAGTTCTAGCTATAATTACTGTCCATTTCCATGAAAACTTTTGATCTATAATCGCTTAAGAACATGTCTCTGAGATTGATTGCAAGTACAAAAGAAAAATAGCTTATCCAAAGTTGGATAAGTTATGAAGTGTTTTTTGGATATGCAACATAAAAGTATTAACAAAATTTGGATTCCACTAAAGATCTATTGTTGAAAACACTTTCTCCTTTGGATTCCACCAAAGATCTAAAGTCTACTTGCCGATAGATTTGAGGCACGCTACCAAATTTCTTCTCTAGAACATTCAGTGGTCATATCCTTCTCTAAAAATAATGATGATTGATGATTGTGTGTTGTCTACTATTAATTTGCATAATTTGGCTTAATAAAGGATATGCTTTTGTTAATTTCACTAAGCCTAAATCAGAAGTGGGAATTTGTTGTAATCTTCTTTGTAAAAAATTTAAATTTAAAAATAAAAATAAAAATATCTTACACCTCGGTGTTTCTAAAAACTGAGGGGACATTTTAGCGTTAAAGTTGAGGATATTTTCATCGTCCTTAATCAAATCATTGTCGTCTATTTCGTGATTATCAATGCTCACGACACTATCATTAGTGATCCGCGTGAAACCTAAGTTAACTTTCATTACAAAAGCATTTTGAATATCAAAAATTGATAATAAAACATCATGAAGCGCTTGAAACTATCCTCCACTTTAAGATATGCAAGAGTCTTTTTCATGAAGACTTCTCTATGATGGATTGCAAGAGCAGAAAATTATTTGGATTAAAGCTTGTGTACTTAAATATTTATTTGAGAAGAAAATTATTTATTTATCTAACCCTTTTTTGTTGATATCATAAATAAATGTAAGGAAAAACATAGAAAATATATTGTTTCCCGGCATATGGTCTTTCCAGAATATCACAGACATCCAACATATGAACTTCATGGACAATTTTACTTTTGTCTTTGATATTCTATGTAAACATTGTAACCATTTTAACATTCTGGGTAAACATTGTATTTTATAAATAAGTTATTCTATTAATTTTCTGTGTAAATAAGTAACCAGTTTAAATTTAAAAATACAAATAATTTACCCCTCGATTATTGATAAACCGAGATACATGAGACGCTATTATTGCAAATAATAAAAAATGCAGTTGAGGGGTTCGAGCCCATACGCAATTACAATACCCCTCGGTGTTTTAAAAACGGAGGTGCTAAGTCCATACTTTTTATGACGACCTTATTAACGTCACTTCTGTAACCGAGGTAAAATGTATTTCGCGTCCGACGTTACAAGGACTTTTTGTAGTAATAAGTCTTGCATTGAGTCATATTGTGTCTATGTTTGCAATATGAAGTTGTGTGCATTGTGTGAAATTGATATATTGGTGAAACTATAAAATTGTGAATGTGTACTCGTGAATAATATGATTTTATTGGGTGATGTTATGTTGATAAAGCATATGAAGTGTTAGAATATTATCTTTGTCCATGTATGTTATGTATTATATGTTATTATATGATTTCGATAATTATATGAATTCTCACCTTTTTTGTTGGAATGTTGTTATATACGACATCGCTCAGGTACTGAAGATTAGAGTTGCTTCTAGCAGAAGAGTATCTGGAGGAGTTAGCTTATTTTATTTTCGTATTTTGGTTTTGAGTCGTGCTCTGATTATGTAACACGGGAAAACATTTTGAATTCATGTTTTGAGAGATACATTGTATACTCTGTTTTATATTGTTATGATTTATTTGAATTAAGTGGTGAATTGACTTTTATGCCTCAGTGGTGAAATAAATGAGTTGATTATGAGATTAATTATTATATTCATTATGAATGAAAGTGATTTCGTTGCTACATGCTTATGTAAAAGTGTATGAAAAACATAATTTTAATTAAGTGTTATTGAGTAAGATAGGTGTGTGATATTTTGAATTATGTGACACCCTCAATTGATATGCATGTTATATTACTCTGATTTATGAAGTATTATTCTACGGGTTTAGAAAGTGTTACACAACTAGGGGTAGCCTCATCATATCTTTCACAATTGTGTTAAAGTAAGCTTGGGCTCCAGTGGTAAAGGAGCTCCTGCTAATGACGTAACTCCGGAAATATCAGATTCGATTTCTAGGTGGTAACAACGCCTGGTCAGTGTCCATACCTCTGACCATGAGCTTTAGATTACTAGGGCCCCTTTCTCCTATAACCAGAGTGCGGAAGCCAAAAAAAAAAGGTTACCCAACAATCTTCTTGTCAAACTGTCTTTGTCAAAAATTTAAATATGTAGGGATTATATTTTAAAACCACATCCCTTCTAACTAATACTTTAGATATTTAATTTGTTTTGTGCATATTTTATTCGCTTCGCTTCGTTGTTGAAAGGTAAGACCGTAGGAGGAGAAAAATAAATAGTTTAAGATTAATCATTCTTTTAGTCTATGTAATATTACAAAGACTAAAATCAAACTCTTTCAATATTTCAGGAACTAAAAGAATGATTAACCCAATATATTATTATGGTGGTGGGACCAAGGGACGACTAAAGGCTGGCGGTGGAGGAAATATTAGAGGCAAAGATGAAGTTTTGTTTGGTGGCTTTGACCTTGGAGGTGTGGCTTTGGGTCTAGTTGGTTTCTTATATGGTATATTTAAAGTAGAATAGTTGATTTTGTTGTTTCTTACTACAATTTCACTTTTAGTGTTATGCTCTCTTTTTTTGGAGAATGGGTGACTTGGTTTCAACTTGTGAAATCGGGCACAATGATTGTCGGTGGTGGTTCTTAGAATACAAATGCCTCAACTTGGAGTAAGACTTTGCGATTTTTGAAGTGAACCAGAGAGTTTTGAAGATTTTTTCTTAAAAGTAAGATAAAAGACATTTCTCATCAACAACTTTGCTATCATTCTTTCTTATACTTCTCAACTTATAACAATTTTGGGATTGATCTATAGAAGATTTCTTTGAGTGTACAGATTTCTTTGAGTGTACATGCTATTGTAAGGGTTGAATAAGATTGAATATGCTATTGTAAGGGTTGAATAAGATTTGATTTGTTTATATGAATGTTGTTAATCACTTTTAGTGTACATGCTATTGTAAGGGTTGAATAAGATTGAATATGCTATTGTAAGGGTTGAATAAGATTGGATTTGTTTATATGAATGTTGTTGATCAGTGTAACAGAAAACCTCTGAGTCTGCACGAGAGTTTATTTATATCTTAAATCATTCGTTGAAATGTCATTAGAAATAACAGGAGATTTTGATTATTAAGGATTATAAATAAAAATATATATATATTACACTATAGAAGAAAATTGTGGGACAAGTTATTACTCACTTTCCACTTTCCACTTTCCACTTATGATAAAGAAGGCATGAAACAAAAATATTTAATGAAATGCAATAGAAAACACAATAATTTGAAATGTTAAATTTATTATTATTTGATAATATGATGTTTACATTTCCAATAGGATGTGTAAAGCAAAAAGTTTGAAATGTAACATTAAAAAATACAATTGTAACTTTCATGATTGAAATGTTTTAGTAGGATTTGTCTAGAGCCTGCTTGAGAGCCGAGACTTTTGCATCAGAGGATGAATCATATTCCTGACAAGTTTTCGATTGCGTCCTGTCATGTGATATATGCATAACTTTTGACTGCAGTTTCTAACTCTTCTTTCACGGCATCATTGATTCCATCTGAGTCGCCGCTTTTATGTACTAGCAACACACAAAACAAGAAGTAGTGTCGCCGCTTTTATGTACTAGCAACACACAAAACAAGAAGTAGTGTCGTGTATACATTCTGTTAGAAGTGCTGAGAAAAGTAATGCACCAAGTGGATTACCTAATGACATGAATTTGAAAAATGGACATGAACAGCCATTTGATCCCCATCAAAGTCTGCATTGAATCCATTTGAAACCAAAAAGAATTGAAATTGTTGGAATCGGTGTTCCTTTGATGGCATGTGCAAGCAGAAGGTGCAAGATTAGGGTGAAGATCCTCTGCAGTGTAAATTGTGTGTAGTGGAATATTAGCGCCACATTCTTTCGTACCACACTCTTGGAGGTGGATTAGAATTGGCCATGGTTAGTTTTTTTTTTTTTCTGTTAGAGTGCATGTTTTCTTCCAAATGAGAATTGTTTGGCAATTGTCGGGAGCACCTGTTTGTTATGTAACGCTTTGTCATTGTACAGGGATGTCATGCGCGTGTTGCTGTTCCGAAAGCTCAACTGGGCCTGCCAGAGCTGACACTTGGTATTATTCCCGGATTCGGAGGTAATCAAAATTTGCATGCTGTATGTTTCCTGATCTAGGCTAGGAGTAAGAAACTTTTCATCTTTTTGTATCACTCGTTGAAATGTTGACAAAAATTGTTGACTTATTAGGTACACAGCGTCTTCCAAGGCTTGTTGGGACGTCTAAAGCAGTTGAAATGATGCTGGTAAGATGCAGACCATTTATTGGGACGTCTAAAGCAGTTGAAATGATGCTGGTAAGATGCAGACCATTTATTTCCAATCGATTATCATACACGTGAGTTTCTTTGTTATTACTTTTCGCCTTTGTGGTGCAATAAACATATTTTAAACTTGCGTTTCTCATAGACATCTAAACCAATCACGTCGGAAGAAGGGCAGAAACTAGGAATTATTGATGCTATTGTATCTTCCGAGGAGTTACTAAAGGTATCTAGGCTGTGGGCTCTTGAAATTGCCGAAAAGCTCAAACCTTGGGTTCGTTCACTTCATATAAATGGTGAACACAACACAATTATATATCAATTTTGTTAGAACAACAACTCTTGTTCAAAAGTATCCTCCTATGGCCACTAACATGATTAGAAAACAATATTAACATAATAAAATAAATAAAGAAGAAAAAACATGCTGCATAATCACAGAAACCATGCTAACAATTTACATGTTACCACACAAAAATGTCCAATTTGTCTTGACTCTTGAGATGTAAAAACATGATTTACCACCCGACATCACCAGCCCCATAAATTTGTCAATGAAAGTAGCAATCAAGTAAAGAAACGAAATCGATGGACTACTTACAACTCAGCACTGAATTCATTTTTATAAGTAAGAATAAAATCAGCTGGTTTGAACAAACATATCAATTGTGTCGTTGAGAATAAAACGTTCCGAGACAATGAGTCAATTGCGGGTTTTTTTAAGGCCAAAAAGATAGCTTTTTTTAATTGATCCTTGTAATGGAGGAGTTTTAGCCTCCATATGTGATGCCAATAGATAATATCTATAGTTGATAGTCAATTGCAGTCTCAAAATAGCTTCTTTTTTTAAGTTGCACCACTCCACTCTTAGAAAGAGCAGCATACTTGTATTTTTTCAATATTCAAATTATATGCAACAAAACCAGTTTTATGAATAGTTCAAAAAGAAATGAGTATGTCACAAAAATGCATTGTTGTAACTTTTTATTCTTAATTGAAGCAAAGATTGTGGAGAATGAACTTTGAACTTACAGTGGGAAAACTTTTTGTGAGAGTAGTTAAGTTGTCGTCAATAGGTATGCAATGCATTCCTCTTTTTCAACTCCTTTATTAATGGTAGACTTGGTGGCAAGATTGAAGTGAGCTTCAAAAAGACCAATATATACCAAGAGCAAGTTTCTTAATTGGCTGAGTCAAACAAAAATAAATATAATTCCACGTTTAAAACTACATCTCAGCAAAAATAACAATCATTCAAGGGAAATATATACATGCAAAAAATAAGAGAATGGGCAATGGTGAAACCTGGTGATCAATTCTTGGATCAGTGAGTATAAGAAGACGAGGCTCACAAAATGAAGTTTGAAGTTGATTTGTGAATGTGCCAGAGGTGTGTCTACCAACAAAAGTACGAGCACCAGTATATTGGGCAAATTTGAGCACATATATCTCATAAGGTCTAGCATATTGAACAATTATGTCCCAAGGGTTTTCGATTGCAACCATAACCCTCATAACCCTTTCCGCAAGTTGAAGTTTCTCCCAATTCATAATTTATAGATGAATGCACCTACAAGATGAACCTTAAATATACTGCTGCAAGTTCCTGAACATGATAGTGCACGTATTTGACATGAATGAGTGATGACTTTTCTAGGTCCTAGGAAATGCAAAAGGAGTTGTGGCAGTTGTTATGTACATTTTGATATTTAAAAATCCTGTATCAAATACTGGAATTTTGAGATATTCTCTACCAGTCATTGGGGTTAACCTATATAGTGAAGCCAATAAGAGAAGCAAAAGAGATATTTAGCTAAATTGTATAAATCAACAATTTGCAAAAGTATTGTGGTAGAACCAGCCCGTAACCATATGAAGCCACTTCAAACATTGACAGGACAAAGTGTTGCATTTAACAGCATAGTGATGCTCAAACTGGCACATAACCAGAATCATGACAATGATAGGTTTTGTCTCAATATCAAGAAATAAGCAAAAGATTATATATCAAACATCATCAACGGACAATCATGTACGCCAAACCGTTTTTGTCTTTGGGATCCTATTATATATTTGTTCCAGCTGCCATTAGGACAATATGATAAGTAGAAACTATTACGATTGGAAATTAATAGAATACCAAAAATGATGTATCTGTCAGAATCCTTTATAGAGTAAAGTTTATGTGTCCTGAATGCTTGATATTGTAAATTGAGAAATAGGCACAAGGTTGGGAGCATAAAAAATAGTGTAATAGGTACTATTTGGTAAACAAAGAGGAATAGGTAAAACCTACTAACACTGATATATAAATCAAAGCAATATGCTGAGAATATACATATACAGAACAAACTTGATCCTAAACTTGATCCTAAAAAAATATGCATACAAAAAAGATACAAGTTAAAAATATATTATATCACTCCTATCATATTTGGAATTCCTAAATTTGCGTATAATCCGGTCCTTGAGTACGACGACTCAAGAAGCTTGCATTGGCGGAGAAAGTTAACAAATTGGTCACCAACAATGTAATTACCAGATAGGTTGATCCTGCGGAGATTGGGAAGTGCCAATAATGGATCATTATCATCTACCATAAAATCTTTGTCAAAACAATTACGGGGATAAGTGAGATTGAGTTCTTCTAATAAAGGAAAACAATCAGCGATGAAGAATAAATCTTTCTTTTCTACCTGAACCATTTTGTAACAATTTCAAAATTTTCATGGTTTTGGACAAAGCTATCAAGCCATTGGAACGAATATGAATGGGTCTGGTGGAGAGATTGAGCGATTTGATGTTGTGTAAAGGGAAAGTGGAGATTAGGGTTAGAGTATCGTCGACTTCTTCTATGGTTTTGGATTAGATAGTGAGTTTGAGGGATCTGAGGTTAGGGAAGCGGTGGAATAGGCGATGAAGATAGGGGATGGTTTGATCGGTGATTTTAACGGTTAATCGGAGACGGTTTGTGATGGCCAGAAACTGTTTTGAGGCGACTGAGAGTGACTTGAAAGTACGGCGGTGGCCGTTGAGAGATTTGAAGATGCGATCCAGTAATTCCTCCGGTAAATATGAACATACTTCTTCTTCTTCTCCTACCGCCATTCTGGATCTGGATGCTGCTCCCGACATTGTTCTCACTTTTATTTTATGTTACTCCCTCTCCCATGCTCTTCTTAATATATCTTTTTTTCTCCATGGAAAACGGTGTTATAGGCCCAACCATAATTTCACATTACTTTCTCACTAAACAGGCCCAACCTATATGTCTCAAATTATATATTTTATTTATATTATTTTATTTTCATATAATTTAGAGATTTTGTTATTTTATTTTCCTAATAAATCCTTAATAAACAAAATTGGAAAAGGAGAATCATCATCATCATATCCTTTTTCAAGTATGCGATGAAATTAATCTCAAAGAAATGGACATCGATATGTCTTTTTCATTAATATAGTATGTAATCAAAAGAGAAATGGCATATGGTACAAGCTTTGTTTTAAATTTAAAAAGTTTGTCAATTTATATAATTTCATGTCAATACATCATCACCATCATTAGATTGTCTTTCGATTCAAAATACAAGGGTTGGAAGTTAAAGTTCATTTAGTTAGTGGTGCATACTATATTGACCTTTTTTCTTAAACAACAAGAAGCTAATTTCTCCCTTGATTTAATTTGGGCTTAAGTAACTTCTACTTATTTATTGTGACTAGGATATTTATTGAGGTTATTTGATTTAGAAGCTCATGGTTTTATTTTGGCAAGACTATCATGGTTAATTCAATTAAAATTTACCAAAAGTAAGTGTTGTATCCAAAAATTTATCCTCTCATGTTTTCTAAGATTTTCTCTTACATGGGTGATTACAAACACTTGCTTAAAGAAAATAAGAATTTTGAAGATAAATAAAGTATCTTCGATTGTTATTTAAACAAGGTATCTTCGATTGGCATTGGGACAAGGTGTCTTCGATTGGCATCTGAGCATGTTGTCCTTCGATTGGCATCTGAGCAAGGAACGCGGTGATTTTTTAGAAAGAAAGATGTGAGATTTGGAAATTTTCAGCATCTTTTTCATCATGATAGACGTGCGGTATTTTGATCATAACTAGAACGTCATAACTCAGAATGACGTGAGACCGGTGGCAAATGAAATCTAACATTAAGGGCTACAACTTTCATGAAGACATCAAATGCTAAGTCGGCTATGTTCATACGCGTATCAAGCATTTCACACGCGTATGAGATCTGGAAAAAACGTGTTGCTGCCCATACGTGTACCATACGCGTATGGGCGCCTAGAATCGCAAAAAAGGCCTGAAATTGCTCTATTTAACCCCAGAACGTGAATTTTATTGGGTTGGACGATTTTTTTATGGAAAATACACATTTAAAAGTCTAGGAAACTCGGATTTTCAAGGTGGGTCAAGATCTTCAAGAGTTTTATGTGATTTAAGATTAATTCATCAAGTTATCTGTAATGTTTATGGCTTTTACCATGTTTTTTTATCTATGAGTAAGTAAACCCCCTCAATACTTAGGGGTGTCCATATTCAGTATTGTAATGACTTTGAATTTATAATTGCAATGACAATCTTGTTTTATCATAATTGATTTATTCTCATGATGATCATAATGCTTTTTATTTCGGACAAACTGAGTTTGACTTACGATTAACAACTAGGTTGAACCACTATTGTTAATGCTTTTTGTGAGAATATTTTGTAGTAGATATCACCTAGGACTAGGGACACCCTATAGAAATAAGATTATTCTTATTCTGAACTGGCCCAATGATTAGAATTGGCCCAATCTGCTTAAACCTTCAATATGGCCCAACAACTTTAGCTCATTAACCTCGGTCTTCAATCGAGCACACACGGTCGCCCACATCATAAGAATATCACAGATAACAATGTCCCGACCACACGTCTGCCCACATCACCATTCGTCTTCAGGTCTGCTTGTTACTCGTCGAACAAGCAACCATGATTAGGCTCACAACGCATCTGCCTGTCACCTCATCCTTGCTCGGAGCAACGGCTAGTTTTGGGCATGACTGCTCGTTTTGACCCAATCTTGGCAGTTACCTATTTTTTAGGAACCTAATATCTAGGCCAAAAAATAAGAACCAATGGCTACACGCTAGGGGAATTATATAAACCTTCACCCTTGTAAGGGCCAAGTATCGAATATTCACTCTAAATGCCCTAATCTCTTTCTTGTATCTCTTTGCACCTTTTCTCACTAGATCGTCAGAGTGCCTTGCAGGTAAAACCCCTCCTCTCCATAAATTTCCAGCTAAGCAGACGTCATCATCTCGGCCCACTTTCAGGTTCTGATCAACCGATCCCTGACATCAAAGATGGCCAACCTGTATCTTCCGACTCAGTCGACGCCGACCGTGACGACCCTTATTTCTAGGAGAAGCTCTTGGAGGATCATAGCTCAAAGAAGTCCACCAAGGGCCTGTCTGCTGTCCTCGAGCTGGTTCCAATTTCGTCCAACACCGATCCAGCCATAACAACTCTACTTGTTGGCTTTAACCAGAACAATGCCCTAACCCTATAGCAGAACAATAGGATGGGAGCTTGGGAGAATAAACAGTCAAAGGCCCTTCCTCGGGGACACTGACGATATGATTCCCGGAATCCATCACCGCCCAAACGTGGTCGTCCAACCAAAAGGGAGAGGCAAGACATTTCTTTCCCTAAGAACAAGATCACACTTCCCCGGAAAGATTAAGGCTCCTCATATTCCAAGAAGACGAAGAACAACTATTGACTTGACTGCGACCGCTCGTCTTCGCCTAAGCCAAGGCAGCAATGAAGAAGCATATCTCCTTGTTGAGACAATAACCTTTGACGAGGAAGGAACCACCACTCTCCACCACCATCTCCTGATGGAAGCGATGATGATGATCCTCGCAACCTATTATCAAGAGAGATAATGGAGACCATGCTCCCAGTCGGCCTAGAGAAACCTCCCCACTGGGACATACGATGGAACTATTGACCCGGACAAGCACATAAAAAATATTGATGCTCTGCTCGACTATCGAGGGGTTCGAGGAGCAATTAAATGCAGGTTTTTCCCTACGACACTCCAGAAATAAGCCATGGCTTGGTATAAGAGCCTTCCAAATGAATCCATCACATCATGGAAGAGCCTGGGAAGACAATTTTTCATGCATTTTATAGCATATTATCGGTATCCCAAGTCAAAAGCATCGCTGGAGGCAATCATCCAAGGGAAGGACGAATACCTTAGGGAATATATCGAGTGCTTCAACAAGGAAGTCGTACACGTCTCTATAACCAATGAAATGAAGAATTACCCCCTCGAGCGCGAGCTTTGTCCCTGCAATGACTTTGCCAAAGCAGTTGGCATCGAATCACCAGCCACCCTGAATATCCCATGCTCAAAGCATAGGCGTACATCCGATACAAGGAGAAGGAGGCAGCTAACAACGCGAGGGACTCACGGCATAGAGAAAATGCAAAAGTCTCGAAGAATGATGATCCCCCGACATCTCGTCGAGGAGGAGAAAAACGAAGGGGAAACGAATCTCTAGAACTCAAAGACTACAGGGGACCAGCAAGTCACTTTCATGACTACACCCCTCTTAACGCTTCACGCTAGCAAATTCTTACTGACTGCACAAACACATAATTCAAGCAAGTCAGGGTCCGCTTTCCCCGACAAACAGAATCCAAGCCAGGGACAGATAAAAGAAAATACTGCAGATTCCACAAAAGTCACGGGCACATGACAGAAGACTGCATCCACCTCAAATATGCCATTGAGATCCTCATCCAAGATGGGCATCTCAAATAGTACAAAAAGAAGGACACTCCCCGAGAAGACGCTCTTGAATCGAAGAAAGTCGAGGAAGAGAACCATTCCCCTGACAAATCTCTTATACATGTCGTGTTAAGCATCACCAAGCCGAAAGATTTATACTTGCCCGACATGGATGAGATCCCCTTATACTTATCATCTCATAGTCCTTGGGAAACTTTTCTATCGGTGGTGGTTATATTTGGCAGGGGATTCAACAAATGTATTGTGGGCTCGGCAAAAAGAAGATTCGAGAAGCTAATAGACGCCAATGCTGACTAGAATTCAACTCTCGACAATATTAGAGAAAGCTCCCTCCCCCTCGCGTTCTATCAAGAGGAGTTATCAGGTGGAGCTCCTAACTCCAACATCCATTTGCTTGTATGAGTACACATGGTGAACTTTGACGCCAGGTGTATCTTGGTCGATTATGGCAACTCAGTTGACATAATGTACACCCAATTGTTCAACATTCTCCAGCTGAACGAAACACATTTGACCTCGTACACGGGCTCTGATCTATAGGGATTCAAGGGTTCTGTCACCAAACACTGGGGGTATGTCGAGTTGATCATCACTTTCGGAGCGGTAGAAACAACCAGATCCATCAAGACTCAATTCCTGGTGGTAGATTGCCCATCATTATACTAATGCATCTTCGGAAGACCTACCTTGGCAGAGCTGATAGCGGTGCCCTCGATCGTACACATGAAGATGAAATAGTATATCGCGGAAGGACTTGTATCCATCCTCCACGAGGATGTTCGAGCCACGAGGAGATGTTTCGAGGAATTTTCCAAAGGCTTAAGCTTCATCATCACACGGCCTCGAGCAGCCAACAGATCCATTTTGCCCTATAGTTCCGGGGAACCAAGGTCAGCCGCACGTTGACACCGTTGACCTCGACAACTGTCATACCCCAATTTTTTACCTAAGATACCATCTTCATTTTCATTTTCTTTACATACATCAAGGTCACGAAATATGGGCATTTTTTGGTGTAGATACCTTACCTTGATATCCTATCCCTTTTCTGCCATTTCTGCTAACTCCATAGATCATTGAAGCCATCTTGCTTCTGTCTATGTTTTAGCTAGAAACTTCTGAAAGTTGTGATCATACTTTTTGATGATCTCATCAGCATTACTGGGAGTTTCATATATTGTTTCCTTCTGAGAGTTTTGCAAATCATTTTCTAATTTTGAAATTTTTTCTTTTAACTCAGAATTCTATAATCTGAGACTGTGATACGGTGGCCA